AGTAGTAGTAGTAGTAGTAGTAGTTGTAGTAGTAGTTTCAGTGGTAGTCGTAGTAGTAGTAGTAGTCGTCGTAGTCGTAGTCGTAGTCGTAGTAGTAGTAGTAGTAGTAGTAGTAGTAGTAGTAGTAGTAGTAGTAGTAGCTGAGGGGCTGTTTGGTAGCCTGTGTGTTTTCGCTGTGCTGCGTTTAACTTGTTGTGCTACTTGTTTGCTGCGCTGTTGCGTGTCTCATGTTTGCTGTTGGTTGTATGTGTTGTTCCGCTGCCATGCGTGTGTGAACCTCCCACGTGCGTTGAACCATGAGGAGGAGTATGATGATGATGAGGAGGAGGAGGCGGAGGAGGAGGAGGAGGAGGAGGAGGAGGAGGAAGGAGCAGTCGGAGATAACAGCACCGAAACCATTGAAAAACCAATAAACCCAAAACAAACCCAACTAATCCCTGTGAGGGTCCAAAAAAACTAAAAAAACGCAATTTTTTCGCTACTTAGTCGGCCTGGGGCTCTGGGGCTGGGAATCCCAAAACATTGGAAAACCATTGAAAATCAAAAAAAATCAAAAAACATCCAATTAATCCCTGTGAGGGTCCCCAAAAAATCAAAAAATCCAATGTTTTCACAACTTACTCAGCTTGGGTGGCCAGCCAGCCCCAGACAGACTAAGTTGCGAAATGATTGAGTTTTTTGAGTTTTTTGGGGACCCTCACATGGATTAATTGGATTTTTTTGAATTTTTTTTGATTTTCAATGGTTTTCCAATGTTTTTTGATTCCCAGCCCCCCGAGCCCCAGGCCGACTAAGTAGCGAAAAGATTTAGTTTTTTTTTAGTTTTTTGGGACCCTCACAGGGATTAATTGGGTTTGTTTTGGGTTTATTGGTTTTTCAATGGTTTTGGAGCCTTGGCTGGCGAAGTTGATGGAAGCTGTGGGGAGGAGGGGGAGCGGATGAGGGGAGGGAGGGAGGAGGAGGAGGAGGAGGAGGAGGAGGAGGAAGAGGAGGAGGATGGGGGGGAGGAAGACGTGGAGGTGCATGGTGAAGCCAGGGTGCATCAATGATGCTGTAATGCACCCTACCGTATGAGGAGCAGGAGGAGGATATCCAGAGTGACGCCATGATGCATCAACGATGCTGCAATGCACCATCCCGTAGGACGATCAGGAGGAGGAAGACGAGGAACAGGAAGTTCAGAGCAAGCCCAATGTGCACGAACGATGCTGTAATGCACCCTTCCGTCCCATGTTCCCTATTCACATGTCCGTGCAAGCATTCCCTTTCACAACTGGACGTGCGACCTTGAAAGGTAATCGTCCCATGTGCCTGAATTCATGCGAGAGCTCCGGAGGTGTCGGAAAGACGGGAGCTTCCAGTGTGGAGCGCATAAGAGATGAGCGCAGTCACCGCATGTTCGGTAGTTAGCACTGCGAGACGCGATGGGGACATGACTGCCTCAAAACACGCTCTATCATCACCGCTGCCACCGTCATCGTCGTCGTCGTCGCTGCGCGGGCATTCGCTTACTGCATATGCGAAAACACACAGGCTACCGAACAGCCTCTGACCTAGTAGTAGTAGTAGTAGTCGTAGTAGTAGAAGTCGTAGTAGTCGTGGTAGGGGGATCTGCAGCAACAGCAGCAGTAGCAGTAGTAGGCGTAGTAAGAGTAGCAGAAGTAGAAGTGGTAGTACAAGTAGTTGTAGTAGTTGTAGCAGTAGATGTATTGTCACTTGTCGTCGTCGCATTCTTTTCATCAGTGGTATTAGTATGTAGTCGTAGTATGTATTAAGTCGTAGTGGTAGTCGTAGTAGTAGTAGTAGTAGTAGTAGTCGTAGTAGTAGTAGTCGTAGTAGTAGTAGTAGTAGTAGTAGTAGTAGTAGTAGTAGTAGTAGTAGTAGTAGTAGTAGTAGTAGTAGTAGTAGTAGTAGTAGTAGTCGTCGTAGTCGTAGTGGTAGTAGTAGTAGTAGTAATAATAGTTGTACTCTGAGTACCTCAGTAGTTCTGGGGTGCGCAATAGTCCGGAGGGGGGCCCTGTAGTCCGGGGGGGAGGCCGTTGTAGTTCGGGGGGGTTCCTGTAGTCCGGGGGGGGGGGGGGGGGGGCACTGTTTGTCTATCTGTGGCAACCCGTAGCACTGGTGCTGGGCGTGGTGAGTGTAGTCCGTGGAGTCCTTGTAGTCCGGGGGGGGTCCTTGTAGTCCTGGGGGGGGGGCCTTGTAGTCCGGGGGGGGGCCCCTGTAGTCCGGCCCTTGTAGTCGGGGGGCCCTTGTAGTCCGGGGGGGGGGGGCCCTTGTACTCCGGGGGGCCCTTGTAGTCCGGGGGCCCAGAATTATTGAGGTACTCAGAGTAGTGGTGGTGGTGGTGGTAGTAGTAGTAGTAGTAGTAGTAGTAGCAGTAGTAGTAGTAGTAGTAGTAGTAGTAGTAGCAGTAGTAGTAGTAGTAGTAGTAGTAGTCGTAGTCGTAGTGGTAGTCGTAGTAGTAGCAGTAGTATTTGTAGTAGTATTACTAGTCGCCGTAGTCGTTGTCGTACTCGCAGTAGTAGTAGTAGTAGTAGTAGTAGTAGTAGTAGTAGTAGTAGTAGTAGTAGTAGTAGTAGTAGTCGTAGTAGTAGTAGTAGTAGTAGTAGTAGTAGTAGTAGTAGTAGTAGTAGTAGTAGTAGTAGTAGTAGTAGTAGTAGTAGTAGCAGTAGTAGTAGTAGTAGTCGTAGTCGTAGGGTAGTCGTAGTTCTAGTAGTAGTAGTAGTACTAGTACTAGTACTAGTACTAGTACTAGTAGTAGTAGTAGTAGTAATAGTAGTAGTAGTAGTAGTAGTAGTAGTAGTAGTAGTAGTCGGTCGTAGTAGGAGTAGCCGTAGTAGTAGTCGTAGTAGTAGTAGTAGTAGTAGTAGTAGCGGCAGCAGTAGTAGTAGTAGTAGTAGTAGTAGTAGTAGTAGTAGTAGTAGTACTTGTGGTGTCGGTTGTAGTAGTCGTAGTCGTAGTCGTAGTAGATATAGGAGCAGCAGTCGCAGCAGCAGTAGCAGTAGCCGTAGCAGTATCCGTAGCAGTAGCATTCGTCGTTGAAGTGATAGCATGGGACGTCCTCGTCCTGATTAGTGTCATCCACGCTTGCGTTTGATGTATGTTCATAGTCTCACTTCTGGATGTCTGTTTTGCGACGCATGCCATTGATGTGTGTCCCTCGATTTGGGGTAAGTGTTCTCATTTTGCGTGGCCGATGTTGGTTTCTGGCCTGGATGCGGGTCACGCTTATCAGCCATGTGTAGGGGGTCAGTTTGGCCGATTATGCGTTGTGTAGTTGTCTTTGTCGTTGCATCATCGTGGTTAGCATCGTGCGTGTTATCGGTGTGTGCTTCGATATATGCAAGTGGTGTCAGTCGTAGGTGTAGACACGTGGCTGATGTATGTGATCGTTGTAGGTTGCTGATGCGCGTCTTGAGTGTATGATGTTTACGCCTGCTCTAGATGTATGTGGATGGCGCGGCGCCTGGACGGCGTGAAGCCGTGACGCCTGCCTGGTGGGGTTGTCTGTTAGTTACGCTTGTTGAACACCCAGGGGCCACTCGGAGTCTCGTGGTCTGGCGGCCGTGGTATGTCCGGCGAGCTAGGCGGGCCAGGATCTTTTCATTCCAGTCTTGCATGCCCAAATTGTTGGAATTCGAAAAGCTGTTCAGGGTGAAAAAGTGGTCCCAGGGAAAGGCCCTTGAATCCAGGAGTTGTTGTCCCGGAGGATTTTTTCCATCCTGGTGGAGCAGGGTCCGCGTAAGAGTGACGACTCGCGGGAGTGACCGGCCTCTGGTGTGGGGTCGCAGGGGTCCCGCCGGCATCGGCCTGCACGCTCTGATCTGGATCCCCCCCGCGGTTCTCGGAAACCGCGCGCGCTCAAGAGGGCACCCTTGCCCATGGGGTCATCATTCTTCGGTGTCGCCGAGGGGAGGTGCGGGAGGGCAGCTGTGCCTTCAGGACCCCGACGCCGGGGGCTGCGCGGGCGGCCCAGCACCCCCAGCCGCGGTGGGGCAGCAGGTCGGGCAGGCCCCCGCCCGCCGCTCTGGTCAGAGGAGGCAGGGATAGCGATGCAGGTCAAAACCGGCTTGAATGAAGGAGGCGCCTTTTCTTGCCAGGGCGCCTTGCACATGTCGGTTCTGGCCATCCTCAGCACGTGTTCGGCTTCCGTGGCCGTTCACGCTTGCATCCTTGGCGTTCACGTTTGCGTCTTTGGGGTCGGCTCGTTTTTCTGTCTGTCCCGTGTCTTCATCCAGTGCCTTCCGAGGGTCTTGCATCGTCTAATTAATTTCTGATCCTTGCGTTTGAATGTACTCTTCCATGTTTGCCCGAAGAAGAACCTGCATCGACATACATTTTCGGAGGTCCGCGCGGGCATTTGAAGGTTTCTGTCCACGCAAAAGATTATGAATAGTATGATACGTGTTGTCTTTAGTGTTCATGTTTGTGTTATTCATAGCTATGTCGGTATTACTACTACTGTGGCGGTGGGTCTGTCGGGGGGATCCCAGGCCGCCCAGATGGGCCATTTGCTCCGGTCGCATTTAGGGCGGGACGGGCCTTCGGAGGTGACTCTGGGGAGCGCCGCCATGGCAAGGATTGGGATGTTGCGGCGTACGTCGACAACTATTGCGTCGCGTCTGGTTCGAAGGAGCTGGCCGATTCCGCGCTGTCGTCGATCTCGGCAGCCGTTTCTCGCCACCGCCCCCCCGCGCCTGAGGTGCAGGAGGCAGGCCCCGCCATGGTTCACGGGGCTGGATTGGACGGTGCTCGGCGGGCCATGGGGTTACCCCGTGCCCGCCTGGCTTGACTTCGTTTGGGCATGCGCTCCATATTGCGTCATGGAGAGATCTATTCTCGCGCTCCCTCCACCGTCCCCGGTCACATCACATGGGCCGTGCCGGCGTGAGACGGTGTCAATGCAGTCAGACATTCATGCGCTCTCCCGCTCCAGGTCGGCATCCCCTGTGAAGCTCTTGGTTCGGGTCTCGAGGGATTCTCATTGGGTCCAGTCTACGGGTCCACTTCTTGGCCTATGCCGTGGGCCCTGGACATCGCGGCCTCCGACTCTGGGCTCGATGTGTGGAGAGCGTCTGCTTTGGAGGGGGGCGCTGGGCGATCTTTGGACCCCGAGCGCAGCCGGCAGAGCGCGCACGCTTGAGCACTCCGACTAGTCCCGCCTCGTTCGTGGAGGAGCGCAGGGCTTTATCCAAGGGAGGAACAACCACCCGGACCCGAGAATCGGCCGTTACTGAACGACCCTGGCCGTTTATTAGACAGCCCTGCCCTGTTCGGTGTTTCCTTCTGTGGGTGCGTTTGTTACACGGCTTCGCGCGTCGGGGTGATCAAGTTACTTGTGGGGGGCGGATCCTCTGCCCTCTGTCTGTCCAGACCGAGATCGTGCCCGTGTGCGGACTGCACCTGCGGCTCGGGGTGGGCAGGCGAGGAGGCACGATCCTGCCGCCTGGGTGGTCGGCCTGGCGGCGGAAGGAGTGCGCGGGTGCCGTGGCCCGGAGGCCGGGATCTTTCGAGGCTTAAGTCGAAGACGAGCAACAACGCCATACACATAGACTGTTGGCACGCGGAGGGCCAACAGTTTATGTTTATGCCGTTCTTGCGTCTTCTATCAAGTAGGGCATACACCTCTGGAAGATTAAGTCTGTTTAAGTCCTCTACTAAGTAGTCTTAAGTCTTCTATCAATGCTTTTTTTTTCTATTAAGTCAGGAAGAAGAGTCAATCATAGTCAAAGCAACATAGTCTGGGGACGATTTGTCTAGCATGTTGAGTATTGTTTTTTTCAGGGTCCGCCTGTAGGAGGACATGTCCGACGTAATTCTAGGCCTCCTACTTTATTTCCCTGAAATAACGTGGATGGTGTAATTTTCACCGGTCGCGTTTTTGGACCCCAATGTAATTTTCGCCGGCGTTGTGTTCCGAGGAATATTTCCCGCCGTCCGTCGCGACATACAGGCGCAATTTTCGCCGGTGCCTATGAGCACATATTGCTCGTAGGCGCCGTCATCACCATCAGCATCATCATCGTCGTCATCGCCATTATCACAACCCACTTCATAATACCAGCAACCACGCTCGCGATCTGCATAACCTTTCTCCTCGCGTCATCGTCACCAACACAACATCCTCTTGTTCACCACCGCCACACCATGGTCTTCAGTAGTATCACCGTCATCGTGGTTAGCCGCGACCCTGAAATGCTGCATAATTTTCGCCGGCCCTTGGGTATCGTAATTTTCGCCAGCCCGAGAATATGGCCTTTGGATCATTTTCGCCGGCGCAGCACCCCCCACGACGTTTGCCAGCCCCACGTTAAATCAGAGAAATAGAGTAGATGGGGTCCGAGTAGATGAGGTCGGGGGATCGCTCCGTATCGTCGATGTATCGGCGATGCGGCCCGATGAGGATTTCGATTTTGTCCACGCTGGCGTCGCCGATGCATCGCCGACGTCGCCGATGCATCGCCGATGCATCGCCGACGTATCGGCGATGTACTGGCGATGCGCTTCGATCCTCCGACCCCATCTATTCCGACCCCATCTAGGAGGCCTCCAATCTTAGCTGCCCTGATGCTCCCGTTCTGAACTTGGCATCGCTCGGACGTGTGCACTTCTTCCCGGCGGAAATGATAGAGGAGCATCCTGGATCATCCTGCGAAAAAAAACCGCGCACGAAACCGACATGAACACAGGGAGTGGACGTCCGAGCGATGGCCAGTGCAACGCAGTACCTACCGTGTTCAAGACGTGCGTGTTGACACGTTGCGTGTTGGCTCAGCGTAGTTCAGGAGGGAAAAAAACACACAGACACAATTAATCCTCGATCCCCAGGAAAATATGGGAAAATATGGGAAGTGGGGGGGAAGACAGAAACCCAGAAAATATGGGAAAATATGGGGACTATTTTTATTTGTGTGTATTTATTTGTGTGTCCTAATTTCCCTTTAGTAGTGGCCCACCAATTGGCGAGCGTCTCGCGCCAGACCTGCGCTGCTAACCTCCGCGTGGAGCTTCGCGTCAACGCGCCACGGGCTGCGTGGCGCGCATCGCGGCAGCCCAGGCCAGGATGCAGTGGGGGCCCATGCCAAGAATTTCCCTGCTTGCCTCCAGGGTGCCCCGAATGTCTTGGATTCCGATGGCTTTGCGATGGAAAGCGTGACGTTCCCACACCAAGCATCGATGGACGTCCTGGGGTCTCAGGGTTGGGTTTCTAGTGGGAGGTCTCTTGTGGACTGGCCTCCACTGCGCTGCAGAGCAGGGCTCTGCCAGCTCCAGCTGGAGGGAACGACGACGTCGTGGAGGAGGCCTCGAGATCTGCGGCTGCAGCTCTCCTCTCGGGCGTGCCAGCGCCTCGGTTTTTCGTGCGGAGCCGTCGTTCCCTCGCGGGGCCCTGCTGCGTGCAGACTTGGCTGAAGTCGGGCCCGTCCCTCTAGAGGGGGAATTCTCAAACACCGGACAGGAAAAACAAGAAGTCTGGGGACGATGTTTTGAGGTTGGGCATTTTTTTTTGCTTCCGTCCAAAATCCGCTTGTAGGACGACGCGCCCGTCCTAAGACGTGGCCACCGCTTGCCGGGCAGAATCTGTGTGCGCACTAGCAGACGTCGGGAGCCTTGCTCGGGAGAGTCGAGATGGGTACGGGAAGAATGGGTACAACGACCGACAGCAGTTCCTGTGCATTTCGTACAGAGCTCGCTGTCCGCGCCGACGCGGACTTGTCCAGCCTGGATCGGGAGAATCGAGATGAGTACGGGAAGAATGGGCACAACGACCGACAGCAGTTCCTGTTCATTTTGTACAGAGCCCGCTGTCCGCGCCGACGCGGACGATGTCCCTTGAAGACACAAAGCCGCCCGCTCAACAGCGGCCGCTGTCGGTTTTGGATAACATTTGTCATTTGTTGTTGGGCATTGTACCCATTCTATCCGTTCCCACTTCGGGCGTCCAGACTTGAGGCCTGGAGACGGGGTTCGATGCAAATGGGGGTCAGCCAGAGCGCCGGATCCTGCAGAATCCTGCAACGCCAATGAGACCTTGAACGGGGCCAGCGCGCAGGATCCTGCAGGATCCTTGCAGGGTCCCCCGTGCCCCTGCAGAGCCTGGACTGGCCCGGGTGTGCACTGGCCCGGGTCAGTGGAGGCCCGACGACGCAGTGGATGCACGGCGGGCGAACCGCTGCGTCCCTGCTGACGAACCTGTCGCGTGTCTGCGATGGACAAATGCGGCGTGAAAGCGCATACCTTCGGAGGTCTCCGCCGCTTTCTGGGCTCGGCGCTGGGCCCACGCGCTCGTCGGCCTGCGCTCCGGGGAGGGGAGCCCAGCGCCGATGCCAGGAAATCCGCGCGGGCCTCCAGAAATGCATGTTTACCCCATATCCTTTACTAATCGGCCCCCGGGGTCGGTTCATCAGGTTACGCTTTCGAGGGCGGGTGGGGGGGGCCGGATGAGTAGGGCTCGTTCCGCGAAGCTAAAACACAGGGGGGCCGGGTTTTTTCAAGGCACGTTTTGGGATACGGGCTGGGAAGCCGGCGAGGCATCAATTCCACCGTCAATGTCGCACACATTATGTTCGCCTGTTCGCCGCGTTCATCATCACCGTTAGGATGTCCTTTAAATTTGCGTGTGGCGGCATCGATGTCGCAATCAACCTGCGTGTTGCCATGACTGTCATCATTGCCATCATCGCTCTCATGTCCACCGTCACCATGACTGTCATTTTGAATTTGGCTGCTGGGGGGGGCGGAATATTAGGGCCCTCCGTGGAGGGGGCGGGCCGGAACATTGAGGCACCGCGTCAGGGGGGGGGGGCGTTTTTTTTGTTTGTTTTTTTTTTTTTAGGGGGGGGGGGCCGTTTAACAAGGAAAATGGAGTATGCAATGTGTTATTTCTCCATGTGGATTGTCACTGCCAAGGCTCACACAGCTGGTGCAGCTGCACCGCCGCTGCCGCCGCCGGCGGCGCCGCCGCAGACGCACCAGGGGCCCCTGCCCCCGCAGGTCCCCGGGCCCCTGCAGGCGGTCAGCGGGCCCAAAGTCGTACCATCGAGCCGTGGCTAGTTAAGCGACCTGATCTGCCTGTACGCCCACCAAAGAATGTTGTAAGAACCTCGTGTGGCTCCACGGGCCTGATTTAGTCGGAGACGAGAAAAGGCCACGAATCTAAACTTTTGGAGTTCCGCGCGGATTTCTTGGATCCGCGACGGGTCCCCCCGGCGGCGCCTCCAGCGCCGCCCCTGGCGCGCTCCGGGTCCAGCGCAGATCCGAGAAATCCGCGCGGAGCGCCACAAGTTTATGTTCATGCCTTTGCTCTAGTTGAGGCATCGGCTCTTTGTTCCAAAATATGTGCTGCTGGGTTTTGAGAACATATTCTTGTTCTAAGAGAAGATGTCGTGGTACACCTGGACGGGGAGGTTACAGGTTGGTCTCTGCCCACTTCCAGCATGAGCCTTAAGTCGGGCCCGTCCCTCTACAGGAGGAAAATTCAAAAATAGTTCAAAAAATAGTCAGAGGACTTTTTGGGGAATACTTGTTGACCATTTGGAAGTATTGTTTGAATATGTTTTTTGTTTAAATAATAAAAAAAACGAACATCCCCCTGTAGGGGGACACGCACGACTTAACATGAGCCCTGGATGCGACAGCTGTCTGTCCGAAGAGCTCTCTCGGGCGGGGCGCTCCGCTTCTCGGACGGGCAGCGGGCGCATCCGGCGCTCCCGCGCGCTGCGGCCTCGAGGCAGCCCTACCGCAGCAGCCACTGGCGCCGCTGCAGGCTCCTGCATTGAATGGTACCGTCGCCGTAGCAAGTGCCCCCTGAATCCCGTTTTGAGATGGGCGGACGGGCTTTCGCATTTTAAACGACACTGATTAGTTAGGGGCTGACCCTTCTGGGATGGAGCCGGTGCATTTGTCAAGTCCGAGTCTGGCGCGAGAGCCTGGGCGAACGATTTCCGCACCAGTTGTGGACAGGAAGGTGTGTTTGTTTGGCAGCGCTCGGGGTGCCTGATCGGATCTTGTCGCTCCTTGATGCTGCAGCAGGGGCCGTGTGTTTCCAAGCGTGTGTGTATGAATGTGTGTGTGTGCGCTTGCATGGACGTGCGTTCGCGTGTACGCTTTCCATCCCGCGAGTGGGAAGGTCAGGCGGTAGCGCCCCGTGGCATTTTGCCACCCCGTCCTCGTCTCGCCGGATGCCACCGCTTGGCGTCGTGGTCGATCACTCTGCGCGTCGTTCTCGTCCCGTCCGCGCTGCGCCCTCCTTGCGGAACGTCCCCCGGGGCGGCGGCCGGTGCGCTCCCCCTTCTCCCCGCCATCCAGGCCCTGATGGCAATGTGCTGCCCCCTCTCTGAGCCAGCGCGCGCGCACTGGCCTAGATTTCGGCCGCCGTACTTGACTTGCTTCGCTTCGTCGCTGCGCGCGAGGCCGCGACCGCAAACATGTGCGTGGGTGTATGAGTGTGTGTGTGTGTGCGCGTGCCTGTGTGTGTGCGTGGCCCAGCCGCGCGCGCCCGCTTCCGCTGCTTTCTGTTTTCTCCGCCGCGTCGCATCTCACCGCTGCACCCGAGGCTGCGACCGCCAAAAGTGTGTGTGTAGGTGTGTGTGTGTGTGTGTGTCTGTGTCTGTGTCTGTGTCTGTGTCTGTGTCTGTGCCTCTGTGTCTCTGTGTCTCTGTGTCTCTGTGTCTCTGTGTCTCTGTGTCTCTGTGTCTCTGTGTCTGTGTGTCTGTGTGTCTGTGTGTCTGTGTGTCTGTGTGTCTGTGTGTCTGTGTGTCTGTGTGTGTCGCGTGTGTGTTGCCCCCCGTGCTCTTCCCCCGCGCCTGTTTTTTGTTTGCCCAATGGTCGACTATGCTCAACGATCCCTGGGGCCGCCTGTTTTAGCCACGGTGCCCCACCATAGGGGAGCTGATCCAGCTTGGGCGTGTCTCGCCGTGCCTTGCGCACCGCCGATTGGAGTCAGTGGCAAGTCGGATGGACACGCGTGCGCGTGGGCAGCCCCGCGGCCTGACCGCCCCGCGCGCTCCCCGCGGCGCCGCCGCGTGAGAGCGCCTCCCCCATCCTCCCCCCTCCGCGGCCGCCATCTTCTGGCCTTCCCCCCCTCTTGCACGCGGGGCAATTCGCAACGCCGTGGCCCGAACTGATCGAGGCGCGAGCGGATCGCTTCTGCCGCGCCGCGACGGAAAACTGGAAATATTTCCAGATGTCCCTCCCAGATGTCCCTCCCAGATGTCTGGCCCTCCCCCTGCGCGTTTCCTTCCCTCCATCCAGGATCCCTTGGCGCCTCACACTCGTCCCTTGCCAGGGAGGCTCCTGATGCCCAGTGGCCCTTTGCCTGGCTCTATCCCCCTTGTTGCCCTCCAGCCCCGACGTTGGAGGGGATCGAGGACGGCCAGAACGAGGAGGAGGCCGAAGGTCGCTGGGCAAGAAGAGGGCTTTCGTTGGGAGGGGCAGCGTGGGAACTCGAGGGGCGGCAGGAAGCACGCAGGCCTCGGACGACCCGACCCGTCCGGACCGCTGGCCCCCCACAGCGCTCGACCCTTCCTTCCCCAGGACCGGCCCTCCGTGCCGAGGTCTCCTCTCGACGGCCCCGAGGCCCAGAAACGGCTTCTTGGAGACCCGGCACTCTGAAGAGGTTCCGGCCGCCTCGGCCGCCGCCGTTGCTGTCCGTCGGCGGCGTGCCCGGGGGGAGGAGGAAAGCAGAGTGCGCGCGCAGTCTCACGAGGCTCAGAAGAGAGAGGGCTTCTCGGAGGGCGCGGGGGTGCGAAGCCGCCCCGCCGCCTTCGGCAGACGCCCGCCCCCTCTCGCTTCCCCCCCGGGCGCACCGCCGGGTCTTCCTTTTCTACGGAGGTTGATCGACCTCCCACCCTGACACGTCGATCAGCGAATTGGCCGTTTTCGGTTCGCGAGGGGGCGTCGCGGCCGTCCTTTTTGCGGGCCCAGGTCCGCCGGTTTCGGTCCCAGGCTGCTTTCAGGAAAGGGCGGTGTACTAAAGGGAGGCCCAGGTCCGTCGGTTTCGGTCCCAGGCTGCTTCCAGGAAAGGGAGGTTTACTAAAGTTGGTTTTGAGGCCTCCTCCTCCTCCTCCTCCTCCTCCTCCTCCTCCTCCTCCTCCTCCTCCTCCTCCTCCTCCTCCTCCTCCTCCTCCTCCTCCTCCTCCTCCTCCTCCTCCTCCTCCTCCTCCTCCCCCTCCGATTTTCGTGTCGCCGTCCTCCTCCCGAGGCGCCCCCCGCGTGGGGCGCGGGCGGCGGAGCGCCGGCTCGGGCGCCGGCTCCGGCGCCGGCCCCTGCCGCCGCGGCCGGGGTGCCGCCCGCGGCCACGCAGGGCCCGATGGGCCAGCCCATGGGCGCGTTCGGACAGCGGGGGGAGGAGGGGGAGGAGGAGGAGGAGGAGGAGGGGGAGGAGGGGAGGAGAGGAGGAGGAGGAGGAGGGGAGGAGGAGGAGGAGGAGGAGGAGGAGGAGGAGGGGGAGGAGGGAGGAGGGGGAGGGGAGGAGGAGGAGGAGGAGGAGGAGGAGGAGGAGGAGGAGGGGGAGGAGGGGGAGGAGGACCAGTGTAACCCAAGAGTCATCAACGAAGCTCCCTCTTCATAGGCCCCTACAGCGGTTCATATCCATTGAGGAAAATGCCTCGTTGGAAGACAACCGTTTGAAGATCCTGAAGCATTTCAAAACATTATTTCCGGGATTCCAACGACACGGGTCAACCTGGCTGTTGCGTTTTGACGATCCTCAATCGCGCCAGAACGCCATTCTTGGGCTTTCGACGCCGCGAATGAACGTAACTGCTACGCCCTCATAATCCTGAGTCCTTCCAAAAACATCATCTCTGGTATTTTCATTATGGGAATTCTTGAAACTCTTGCAAATTGTATTAACGAATGTGCGCGACGCTAAGGCGGAAACCACATTTTGAAAAGGAGCCGCCCTCACTCCGTGACACTATGTTTCAAAATGAATGCGCGCGGCGCTTAGGCGAGAGCCACATTTCGAAAACGGTTTCCCCTCAGTCCGTGAAGGTCTTGCACATGTTCAAAACGAATGCGCGCGGCGCTCAGGCAAGAGCCACATTTTGAAAACGGGTTTCGTTCAATCCGTAAAGCTCTTGCAAATGTTTCTAACGAATGTGCGCGGCGCTAAGGCGAGAGCTTCATTTTGAAAACGACCCGCCCTCCATCTGTGAAACTGTCGCCAATGTTGAAGCTTCAGGTCATAAGTGGTGCGGAAGTCTCGGGCGAAACGCTTGGCCCGCCCTAAAAATTGGCCTCGGGGTGCGACAGGCCGCCGTCCCTCGAAGAGGAGGAGGAGGAGGAAAGCCGCGATCGCCCGATCCCGTCCCCATTTGCCCCGCAAGGGGGCCGAGGCGGCGGCCAGTGCGGCCTTCACAGGCCCATCAGGCCCGCGATATTCACTGCAACATCCACGACATGGTTACCATTATTCTCGTCCCCCTGCTGGGGAACACGTCAACAAAGACGTCCAGATCGCGCGGCCACGCCCCGCACACATGCAACCTTGGCGACAACGTAATGATGCCCACATTGCATTGTGCTTTCGCGAAGCACGATCTCCACCTCGAGCACATCACGTTGCGCAATAACCGCCGCGTCATCCACCACACATCCCCACAATGGCGGCATCGTGCACACCAGCCGCGAGCAGGCCATCGAGCACATCGCCGCCATGGATACCAACTGTGAGCCGCAGTGAGCCGCACGCCAAGCAGGGGACCACCAACGCGCCCAGCTGCGCCCGCGATCGGCGCAGGCCTCGCGCGTGGGAGGCGAGAGGGAATGGGCCGCGTGCGCACCTGCTGGAACGCAGGCGCTGGCAAGACGCCAGGGGCACCGGCGGCAGGGTCAGGGGCAGCGTCCCACTCTGTGCGACGACGGCACCGAGGAGGCCAACCGGCCGCAGAAAAGGCCATGGCAAGGACGAGGAAGGCACGGGCAGCCGCCCGCACAAGAGGAGGGCACCGCAGCCAAGATGCAGCGGGAGTCCAACCAGGACCACAACGACCACCTCAACAACATCATCAGCAACGTCACGCCAACGCGCAAGTTCTGATGTCGGTAAACGATTCAAACATCTTCCCCTCTCCCCGGGGTCCTGATTCTATTGTAGTGGTACGACAAATCAAATCTGGGGGTCGGGAACTACTCTTTGATCCTTCCCCTCCCCTCTACGCCTGGGTTCGCGCCGTGGCAGCGCGCCGACAACTAGGGTTCGAATCGCCCCCACCCCCCCTGCCACAGTTTTGCAGGCGTCGCTTTGAAACACATCTCGTAATCGCCCCCTCCCCCCCCCCGCGGCGCAGTTCCGGGCCAATGGAAGGCCCACCCGCGGCGCAGTTTCGCCCGCTCGCCTGGGAGCGCCCTGGGAGGGGCTACGCCGCCTCGCCTGGGGGACCTTTCGCCGGTCTGGATCGTCCCCCCCCGCTCCGAATTGTCAGCCCGCGGACCCCCCCTTTCCCATCTCCCACTTCGGCACGACTGTTGCACCAATCCGCCGCATTCAACGTCCTGCAGCAGCAGCAGCAACAGCTGGGCACCCACCGCAGTGTCGAGCTTCTTTTCTCACGGCGATGGTAGCATTCCCGCCACTCTGAGAAGAAGCCTCGTCGCGAAAGCTGGGCTGGCTGGCGTGGCTTAACCAACTTGCCAGAACGTTGGCCCAGTTTCTTCAGCACGTTCGCCCCTCCAGCGTTAACTTACAAATTTGCCCAGGCCTGTTCTAAGACAGTTTCGGGGAAGTGGCCCGCATTTCTTAGATGTCCGCTTTCTCGATAATATTTGCAGTTGTAGCACATACGACGGCGCTCACAACACGTTCTGCACCACGGCATCATCGGCACGCTATGCCACGCAGTGGGTCCACCATTGTGGTTTTCTCACCCACGTATACTATGCTGACCACCACGGGTGAGAGGACCCTTGATCGCCTTCACTCCCTCGTGGTTCCACCTGCTCGTTAGCATGCCCACCCTGCTGCTCGCCCTGCTAATCTTCCCCCGCCCTCTCCCGTGGCGGAAGGGCGGGATCAAGATTGGAAACGGGATGGAACAGTTCGACTGATTTGGCGAAGGCCAGGGCAACTAGCACCGCTTTAGCACCGCACCCCTCACCGTCGCCACTGCGCGCGTGCATTTTGCACCTGGGATCTGCCCTTGCCCGTATTCGGCGATAGGGGGTTAGCTTACATTGGGGCATGCGCAAGCCGCTCACGGTCCAGACCCGCTTCGCCCGTTCCTCAGCTTCCTTGCACCTCGGTTTATTGTTTCAAATCCGCCCCTCACCGTTTTCCCGCCGCCGTGCAGTCGCGACTACAGCCTGGTCAACAGTTTGCCCCCATTGCTTAACTCCTCAACTCGCCTCTCAGCTGCAAGCCGCGGCGTTGTCACTGGGGGGAGGGATGAATCAGATAGGCGGGAAGAGACTCACCGAACGCGGCCGCCGCTTTTAGAAGACACGAGCCTCCCATCACCCGGTTGGGGAGCCCGGAGAGACCCCCAGCTCGGCCCTTGGCTTTCGTCGCCCGCCTCGGTCGGTGAGGGAACCAGGGCTCGAGTCGTCGGGCTCCCCTGTGGGCAGTGGGAGAGGCCTTCGCGCTTTCTTGCCTTGGCGAGCGCGGCCGCCTGCTGCGCTCGCCGCGCAGGCCTGCTCCAGAGCCTGCCTGGCGCCCACCTGCCAGCTGCCGCGCCACCGAGGCCGAAAGGGACGGGGCTCGCATCGCGCGCGGGAGGGCGGAGCCGCACCTTGCCGCTGGCCGTCCTGGCGTCGGCCAGGGCGGCCGCCGGCGCCACTCCGCCGCCTCGCCGCCGCCGCGGGAGGCGCAAGCCTCCCCCCGCGCCCGGTGCACGCCCACGGGGCGGCCGCCCACCCCTCCCTCGGGAGGCCCTTCGCCCGCCTCGGCTGCGTGAGGGTCTCCCTGGCGGTCCCAGGGATTTTGTTTTGGGTGGGTGAGGGGAGAGGCCGCTGCGCCTGCCCGGATGCAGAGCCATGGCTGGTGCTGCCGCGGCGGCGCTTCCAGGCGAGTCGACGGAGCTTTCCCAGTCCCTGCTCGGTCGGCAAGGGTGGCGCTTTGGGTCGATTGAATCAGCGGCGAGCTGAGGTGGCTGCTGCGATGGCCCAGTCGCCAGGCAAGGCATCTCCGCCAAAGAAGAGCGCGCGCATCGACGAGTCTGGTGACATGATAGCCTGGCCACCATCGCCGCCAGCACGCGCCGCAGGCCACCTCGCCTGCCTCCGCGCCACTGCCACCCGCACCGCCACCCGCAGCCAACGCCTACAATCACCTCCCCCACCTACCGTGCCCTTTGTGTCATATCATGACCCCCCTGTCCTCTCCTGCTGTCGTCTTACCGTTTCTTTCCTTCCCGCAGCCCCAGCCATCAACGTCGCGTGGCACACTAGTTCGACCTCCCCAGGGACAACTGGCCCTGGGGGGGGGGGGGGGGGGCGTTCGACGCGAGAGTGGAAGAGGGCCAGTCGAGACAACGCCCTCTGTGTACACCTTTGTCCCCTGGCGGGCCTCTCCTCCAGTCTCCTGTTCTTCGCTCTTTTGTTTGCGCAGCGTGCGCCCACTGGCTGCGCATTCATTGTGGTTGACCGAGCGCTGCGATCCGATGCCGCTTTTCTCCCGGATCTCGGCGGGGTGGACGCGAGGGCTCTGTTGTTAGCTTACATTTGCGCAGCGGAGAATCCGAGACAAGAGCGGCACTCCATGGCGTTTTGGTTATAGTTCCTGGGCCTCCTGGGGGGCTTCTCGTCGCCACGGCCAGGTCCGCATCGTAAAATGGGTCAAGATGGAAGGGGGCAAGGGTCCGAGGACGGATGTTAAGCGGATTTGGCCCAATGGGCACGGGAGCATCCTTGAGGTGCCGCCGTTGAGAGCCCGTGAGCGTGAGGAGGAGGAGGAGGAGGAGGAGTAGGAGGAGGAGGAGGAGCAGCAGCAGCAGCAGCAGCAGGATGGAAAAGGAACACATGGATGAGGAGCAGGCGTGAGGCGCGAGGTAGTGGGTTGGCAGGCAGGCGGGTGGAGATGGTGCGTGCAGGGGGGGAATTTGACAACGAGGGTTCGAGTCTCAGCCTCGTGATGCGCTACCTCCACTCGAATTCCCTCGCACCCCCCCTCGGCCGCCAGGAGGCTACCCGCAGCCGCTTGGGCATGCCGCGGGCGCCGCCAACCCGCACCATGTTCCCAACGCCTACGCAGGCATGGGCGTGCCGCCAGCAACGCCTGGATTCGTTGGTCTCACCTTGTGGCCAGCCTCTGCAAAGTTGAAGGAAATGGGGACGAGGAGGAGGAGGAGGAGGCAGTGGAGATGGGTGATAAGGAAAAGGAGGAATAAGAGGAGGAAGAGGAGGCAGTGGAGAGGGGGGAGGAGGAGGAAGGCGAACAAGGAGGAAGACTAACCTCCTGTGTTCTGGTACGTGGTCGCGTGCAGCGCTGTCGGATCGGGTGTCTTATCGCATTTTCCCAGCATGCTTCGATGAACATCTGCCCGCCGTGCTTATTTCGGGTTCCTGCTGTGGCAGGACCTCGCGCATGCAATCACAAGTGCGCTTTCCTTCAGAGGCGGAGGCTATGAAAGCGATGCAAGTCGCACCCCATTCGCTCCTGGAGACCTGTTTGCAGGACCACGCGTCACCTTCCAGAGACATGTTGATTCGCTTGAGCTCTCCACTGGCAAAGCAATACTTCCTGCAAACAGTTGGGGACGAGAGAGTATGATACGGATGAAGAGGAGAAGCGCTTCCGCTTGCACTGAGATCGCTCACAGTTGTCTTTTTGGCATTACTAGTTCGACTGCTCGGCCCCCTTGTTCCAACTGTTTCCCGGTAGTTATAGCATGCCCGTCCCGATAACTGTTTATCAATGTGTTGCGTTATCATGTTTGCCAGATCCTCCTGACCCAGATGTTTTCGGGTTCAATATTCTTTTTCTGAAAGCCCTCTTTCATTTTGCAAGGGGGCCATGGGAGGTCCCCAGGAGGGCCATCGTGGGCCCTCCTGGGGACCTCCCATGGCCCTCGTGGGTCTCTCTTGGAAGTCTTCGGAGGCCTCGTGAGCTTTTCTGGGGCCGTCGTGTGGCAGTTTTGTTGCCGTCGTGGGCTGTGTTGAAGCCCTCTTGGGGGCTTCTTGGGCTGTCCTGGGGCGATCTCGGAGGCACTTGGGCCGTCGTGAACGCTGCTACGACACATAAAGCGAATATGCTGAAAATACACGTTTTCCCAAGGAAGTGGGGAGATGTTAGCCTCCTGGGGGCCTTCTGAAGGCCTGTGAAGGCGTCTTGGCGGCCTCTTGGGCCGTCTTGGACGCCCCTTTGAGCTGTCTCTAAGCCGTCTTGCGCAGTCTTGTGGCTCTCCTGTGCCCCTTCGACCACTTCTCTGATCGCTTTCGGTCTGCTGGGCAAGGCCCGGCAAGGCGCTCTGGGAGGCGCGTCGGGGCTGGGGGACCTCTTCCAAGGGCGTTCAGGGGGGCCCAAAGCCCCGTATCCCGGGGATCCAGGTTGGGGGAGAGGGGGGGGGGGGGCAGAGTTTTGTCCCGCCCCCCCGGCTGGTAAAAACATAAGAAGGGGAGCACATTCATTTATGCATATATACTTATACATACATACATACATTGTAGATATGTTTATGTATGTATGTCTGTATATATTTATATATATGTATATATGTGTGGATACAGGTATGCATATTCACGTGACCAGAAAGTTCAGAGCTTGTGCGTTGTGTTTTAGGTATGCGGGACATCAAAGCCCATCGATCGCCTACCGTCGCCTTGAATGGGGTCTGGAAGTTCTATACGTACATGTAGGATATCGGCAGTGGTCAGCAGTCACATGCCGCAGTCATGTTTTTCATGCTTGCGCATAGTATATCTATATGTGTATACGCATGCACATGTACGGATTGAGCGCCTCGTTACATATGTGTTTGGCCGCTTCAGAACGAGACTTGCCGCTGCACGCGAGGGCTTGGCAGCCCTGCACATGTAAGCGGTGGGGAGAGACAGGATCGTGCGATGCAGAAAGGAGGGGAGAGGGGAAGAGAAACGGGGTAAGCAGAATTAGCAGGATCATTCGGGGTGAGAAGGGCGGGGAAGAAGAGTCGGGTGCTGCTTCCAGGCTGCCGCGTAACCATTCGCGCGGCCGCTGCCAGAGGTCCCTGCATCCACCCGATGGCCTTCGATCCGAGCGCCCCAGTGGGCTACCACCCAGGCGGCCGCGGCTGACTGAAGGGAACTTTTAGGAGGAGAGTTCAGGGCGCCAGAGGCCAGGTTGTTGTAAACTGGGAGTTTGCCAGATCCAGCGGAAGGAAGCTGAGCTTGGATAGTGTTTCGGCACACGGCCGCAGTTCAGTCTGGGGCGCCAATGTCCTGGCTTACCAGGGTCCTCTCGCACGGAGCCCTGAGGAGTGGGTGCAGGAGCAAGCGTCCCGATGTTTTGTTTGTCCGGTCCGCCAAGTGGCAGACATGGTATTATGTTCGAGGGTGTTAGAGGTCCACCTCTCTGACACTTTGAACCCAAATTTTGTGGGAGGGTCTGTGTGATGGGTCTGTTTTTCATCACTACCACCATAAGTTGGAGAGGGGAAGGAGGTGGACGAGGTGGTGGAGGAGGAGGAGGTGGTGGTGGTGGAGGAGGAGGAGGAAGATGACCCCCTCCCCTCTCCAACTTCTGGTGGCGGTGGTGGAAAACAGGCCCGTCACTGTGGGAGGCGGGGTGGAAGAGGATGCTGGACGACAGTGCCACCTTCGCTGGCGACAGCCCGGCGGAGGCCAGAGAACAACACCAAACACAGCCGTCCCAAGAGAGGGCGCAGCCCCCGCGTCCGCAGGGCTTCGGAGACGGGAGTGAGTCGTTCCATCGGACACGAAGATGCAACCCGGCTGCTGCATCGTGGGCGGCTCGCCGTCGACCGATTGGCGGCATGGGCAGCGGCACGGCTCGATCGCCGATCGCCGAGAATGCGGTGACATTAACCCGGCTGGCCAATCGAGCACGATCGTTCTTTGATGTGGACGGGGATAGCCCCCATGAGGGGAAGCGGATTTGCCGTGGGGAGTGGAAAAATTAGGCAGCGGCACGGCTCGATTGTATCATTCCTTGTTGTGGCCTATTTTTCCCCTGCGTTGCGCCTCCTTCTCCCAGACTGCCCACCGTCCTCATATCCCTGAGGGCGCCACGGCTCTGCGCAAGGACGTCTCCGCAGCGGGCATGACACCCACGCAGTGGCACACTTGTGCTTCTTCTGCTGCTGTCCCTCCCGGCTCCGAGTCCCGGTGACCCCACTGCCCCCTCGCCCTCCCCGTTGAACTTTTTCTTCTGCCGCTGTTCCTCCCGGCTCCTAGACCCTGTGACCCCTCACTGCCCCCTCCATCCCCGTACGCCTCCCACCGCTTGCTCCCGCTCTGCGCCAGGTCTCAGACACCTTGTCCGCTGCATCGTTGGTTCCTAGCTAGTCGGGTGGAGCAGGATGCTATCGAGAGAGACCGTCGAGACAGCACGGACGCAGCCGGCGAGTGGACACGGAACGGAGCGAGGAGGTGCGCCGATCGTCGCGGCGTTGAGGGAGGCGGTCTGGGGAGAGCGAGTGGCGCAGACCTACCTCCACTTGGAGCCAGACTCTGGGGGCCTGGGCCCACTGCCATTTTTGGAGCCTCGCGGGCTCGCTCTCCTGGGCCACGCCTGGAGCAGCCTGGGCCTCCCTGGCAGCCCCAGGAACACCACTGTGAGGTGATCGTTTTCGAGGCTTTCCTGGGTCCCAGCCAGCGGCTCCGTTCGACCCGAGCTCGGCTCAAGTTCGACTCCCAGCTCGACCCAGGTCGAGGGACGTTCGACGCAGCATCGACGCACGAGTGGGGAGAGAGTGCCCCCTAGGAGGGCCCCCAGTACGAGCACCCAGCCCTGGGCCCAGAGCCCCTCCCGCCCACAGCCCAGACTGCGAAGGACGCCGCGGCGGCGGGCGGCGCCTCTCGGCGGTGCTGCCCTCGGCGCCCGCCGCCCGCGCCAGGCATGTTCGCGGGCTTCCCGCCGCAGACGCCGCCGCCCGCGCACCACCACCACGCGCCCTTCGCGCACGCGCCGGCGCCGCCGCCCTCGCAGCCGGCTCCGCCCGCGCAGGCCGTCGAGCCGAGGACGCGCGGAAGCGAGCCCGAGCCTCGCCGCGCACGTCGTTTTGCTGGCTGCCTGCGGGTCGGATGGCGCCGCCTTCTCCAGACGCGGCGGTCCCGGCCAGGCCCACCCGGAGCCCGGGAGGGGTGTGCGTGCCTTCTCTGGCCAGGCCAGGGGAGCGTGCACACCGATGCGGGGCCCGGTGATGGGCCTGGCCAGGAGCGGGGTAGAGGTGTTTCGTCGGCACGCTCCTAGCCGGTGGGATCTCTGGCGGGGCCAGGACAGGGATCCGTCCGTTCCAGAACGCTCCGAGAAGGCCGCGGCGCCCGAGACAGCCTCCGGAGCTGGCGGAACTCTCAGAGGTTCTCGATTTGTCCTCACCCGATGTTGTCTTCGCCCTGGCTTCGCTCTATGGGACACGAGGGCCCGGCCGCGCGCGCCCGCTCCCGCCGCTCTTCGTCTGACTCCGCCTCGTCGCTGCCCGCGAGGCCGCGACCGCCAAAATGTTTGCCCATCGGTCGATGAAAGTAGGCATTTCTCGGGACTCCCAGGTTCCAGCCCACTTTAAAGCGCCTGCCTACTCCAAGGATCGGGCGGTTTCACCGTTTTCCGTCCTCCTCAGGGGGCGGACGGAACGCAGTCCACCTCCAGCGCCTTCCTACCCCATGGTTCCACCATGGTTCTGCCTACTTCTTCCGACCGGGGGGTACATCAGGCGATCGCAAACATGGATCACAGGGGGCGTGGATTAGCGACGGGCCCCGCTTCCACGGGAAATCACGGACTTCCGCCGCCCAGCGAGGCGGCACCGGCCGCATTTTGGGGAGGGCACCTCCCCCGATCCATGGATTTGGCGACCGCGCGCCAGATCCATGGATCGCTAAGCCATGCCTGCGCGCTCCCGAATAGAGTCGTCAGTCGGGCATAATCTTCTACAGGAGGAATCTTCAAACGTAGTTTAAACATATTATGGGGACGATTTGTTTTTACAGTTGTTATATATATATAGTTTGGGGGGTATTTTGTTGGGGGTATTTTTAATTCCTCGTCCCAAATCCGCCTGTAGGGGGACGTGCTCGACCTGAGTATGGTCGGCACCCTCAGATCTGGCGGGAGAGCTCGCGGCCCGAGGGGGTCGCGAGGCCTCCCCTGGACGTCGTCGCGCCCTCCCATAATTAGGGCCCTCGGCGAATGACTCCTCTCGCAGCGCCGCCGCGGCCGGGCGCGCCCTCGAGATCTTTCGGGGGGGGGAGAAGAGGAGGCACCGGCACAGACCATCGTCGACTTCCGAGAAAGGATGGGGCAGTATGGCAGGATGGGGGAGGGGAAGACGAACACCCCGAAAACATGGAAACAGGTTGAGGATCCTGGGCTCGGTGTCCATTCATGTGTGTGTGTGTGTGTGTGTGTGTGTGTGTGTGTGTGTGTGTGTCCCTGGGCCCCTCCAATCTTGGGCGGGATGCTCCCCGTGGACAGTCAGGTCCGGGGGCAGATGTTCTGAGGGGGGGAAGTCCAGACCTCCCCGGACTCTCGACGTCATGATTGTCTGACCACGTCAACCCCACGAGGTCTCGACCCATTCCCCGAGATTCGCTTTTCATCCCGCGTGGTTCTGACAGTCCCAGGGCCTGGCGAGAGGCCGCAAACGGTAAGAGAAACGTCCGTTGCGCTCTTTGCCCTGCGCGATGGGTCTGGGTCGAGACGTTGGACGGGACGCGCCCCGTGGGCAGGCGGGCCCTCGGGCTGGCTTCCGTTGAGGGGGGGGGAGAGGGATCCAGAACCAAGGGTAAGTCGGGCCTGTCCCTCTACAGGCGGAATGCTCTAGAAAATTCCGCTAATAAGTATGGTGACGTTTTCTTGCAAAATCCGCCTGTAGGAGGATACGCCCGACCTAAACCAAGGTCGAGTTTGATGAAGTGTGAGTCGGACGAGTAGGCCGACCATTCCAAATCAAGGGTTACGCACCCTTGTGTCACACCCTCTGCTTCGTGACACCTGGCCTTTACATGATTTAGGGGGACAAGCAATGAATGACACACGCATACAGTGTCTGAGGTCCGCGCAGATTTCTCGGATCGGCGCCGGATCCCCCTCCCCTGGCGCGCAGGGCTGATTTCGACTCCTTCGATTCGATTCGATTCGATTTCGATGGCTTCCGATTCCGATTCGATTCGACTTGGGATTCCGATTTGGATTCCGACTTCCCACTGAGGCATTGCTACTCTGCCGTTTTCAGCCGATTCGATTCCTCCCGACTTGGCTGCCGATTTCCGCCGATCCGTTGAATTTCGATCGCCGATTCGACCTATCGATTCGATTCTGGGCTCTCCTGGGCGCGCGGAGCGCGCCACGGGTGGCGCCCGAGACGCCGCCGGGGGGGCTTCCAGCGCCGATCCGAGGAACCCGCGCGGGCCTCCGAGTTTTTACGTTTGTGGCATCGTTTGCTCCCCCTCGGTCTGATGGCAGCGTGGCCAGCGGAAGGGTCCGGGGTCCTCTCGCGTGTCCTCTCCAGTCAGACTCGACTGTGCCTCCCGGCGTTACGAGGAGGCCGCGGCCTCCCACGCGGAGTGCGAGATGCCACCCCGCCGCCCAGGGCTCAGGGGTGACGGTCTGGGGCGGGGGGCGGGGATAGGTTTGAGGGGACAACCTTCCTCGGAATCGGGGTTTGAGGTTCTAGGGCGTTTTGGTCGCTTCTCGGCGGTGAGCCAGACTCGGAGTGCGTTCCGGCAGCTGCACCTCGCCGAGAGGTTTCCGGCGGTGCCCAGTTCGTCCCGAACGGCCGCCTGTCACCGAGCGCGCTCCACTACTCGCAAAGTGCCTACTCGCAAATGTCTGGACTGTATCTGTCTGCCTCGATGTAATATATCGTAACTTCCCCGCGGCGGATCGAGGCCGTTTGCGAGCAGCTACTTTTCGCGTAGTCGAGCGCGCTTGTCTGGCCTGAGACCCAAGCTATGACCCGAAAACTTGACGGCGAGGGCCTCCGGGGGGGGGGGGGGGGCGAGATAGTCTCAGGGGGGGGGGCCCGTCTATCCCCACATCGCCGCTGGATCGCCGGTCGGGGCCCGCCCCGCTCAGGAGCGTCGGGGCCTGTCGCCGATCGACGGGCGATGCATCGCCCGTGCCAGGTCGACGCTCCCCCCCCCCTTGAGAGCCCGCCCCCCCCCGAGCGTGTTGCCCCTCGCTCTGGGTCGAGGCTGCCTCTGGACGTGCTTCGTTCCCCATCGCCACGGCCGGCTGCGCCCTCCCATCCTGACATGCAGCGGTGCCGTACGGGTGCTCCCCGACGGGTACTTCTTGGAAAGTTGCCGACGGTTGCCGCTAGCTCTGGGGCCTCTTTCTGGCATTGCAGCGCTGCATACGTGGGGGCGGACTGGGTCCGCTGGGTCACTGGCCAAAGTACCCCTTAGTGGAGTCCCCGTTGGAGGGGCGCTGAGGCATCCGCCGATGTGCTTTTTGTCTCCATCCGCGGCGTTCGCGGGAGCCTTTGTTTGATCCTGGGCGGGGCGCGCGCCCCACGAGCAGGCAGTCACCGCCCACCAAACCACCCCAAGCCAACCCGAAGGCCCCGATGCGCCCTCCAGTTCCAGTGGGGGGGGGGTCGGGGAGCATCGAAAATATACATATGGAGCCCGTAACCCCCGCAACCCGAAATTCAGGTCTTCGGGTTGGGTCGGGTTGGTCCGGTAGGTAGGCAGGCAGGTGCGGTGTTCGGCTGCTCTCGGGGCGGCATCTCTCCTCGCGGGCCACGGGGGAGCACCTCTGCCGGGGGCCCAGCGTTCGTTCCTTCGCCAGGCGGTGTAAGAGAGCAGGACGAGGCAGGGAAGACGAGAAGAATATGAGGAGGCGGAGGAGGAGGAGGAAGAGGAGGCGGTGAGGAGGAGGAGGAGCACGAGAAGGAGAAAAAGGAGGAGAGTAGAGAGAGGATGAGTGTGATAATGATGATGAGGAGGAGGAGGAGGACGACGAGGAGGAGGAGGAGGAGGAGGACCGACGAGGATGAGGAGAGGGAGGAGGATAATGAGGAGGAGGAGGTGGAGAGGGAGGAGGAGAGGGAGGAAACGGAGGGGGAGAATGAGGGTATAGGAGGAGAAGGCATCCTCACGCGGCGCTGCTATTCCTCCCCCGCTCTCCCCTCCTGGTGCGCTCTCCCCGCTCACCTCCCTTCTGTCTCCTTCTCGCTCCTGGTCCTCTTCCTGTCTGGTCCTCATGATCGTCCTCCTCATTCTCTTCCTTCTCCTCCTTCCCCACCACCCAAGCGGCTTACGCCAGTCCGCCGACCGCCCAGAAGGAGCGAATGCCTGCGACGATCTTGGAAGTTCTCTAGTTGTTCAGGAGCTTATTGGATGCATGCGAGGGGCTTGTGGGAAGCCTCCCAGGGGCCTCTTCGAGGGCTCTTGAGAGCATCTGGGGGGGGCATATTGGGCCTTCTTCGGGGCCTCTCGGGGGCTTCTTGGGGACTCCTCGGATGCCTCTTGTGGCCTCTTTTGGTCGCCTCGGGGGCGTCGGGAGTCGGTTGTGACCAACTTAGTGAAAAAGGCTCGAAATATCAGTCCGTGTCTTCCCTCTAGCGCCTTCTTGTGGCTCTCCTGGGTCGTCTTCGTGGCCCCTGCGGCCGTCTTTGGGCTTTTGCAGGCTTCATGTGCCCTGTTGGAGCGATCTTTGGGGCCCCTTGGACCATCGGGGTCGCTGCCAAGATGCAAACAGAAGTATCCGGCGAATCACCGCCGCCCCCTGCCATTTTGGAAGCGCCTGCATGGCCGAAAGTTGGGTTTGAGCTTGCCCGAGCTATCGAGCCACGCGTTCCCCGAGTGGGTTTCGAAAGCCTTCGGGGAACACGGAGTCGGGCGAGCTGTCGGACCAGGTGGTTTCCGAGCTTTCGGGCCTCCTGGAGGTCTTGGAGGGGTCTTGGGCCGTCTTGGAGGCATCTGGTGGGCCTTTTCGACAGTCTAAGGCCATCTTGAGCCATCTTCGCTGTCTTGGAGGCCTTCTTGGCCGTCTTGGAGGCATCTTGGAGGCCATCTTCGCTGTCTTGGAGGCCGTCTTCGGCGTCTTCGGGGCCATCTGGGGCCGTCTTGGGCTCTTCGTGGGGCCCATCTTGGAGATCTCTTGGGCGCTCTTGGGACGATGTTGGAGGCCTCTTGGACCGTCTTGGGCCGTCGGAGAGCTGATAAGAAGAAAATGCCAACATCCTTCAAACACCGAAGGAAAATCAATGATTTGTGCCCCTTCGAGCCTTCTGGAGGACGTCTTGGAGGCCTCTTGGAGGCCTCTCGGCCAGTCTTAGGCCATCTTGGAGCCGTCTTGGGTCGTCTTGCAGGCGTCTTGGACGAACTTGAAGGCATCTTGGACTCTCTCGGGTCGTCTTGGAAGCCGTCTTGGACCATCTTGGGCGACTTGGAGGCCATCTTGGAGGCCATCTTGGGCCAACGTGACCATCTCAAAGGCCATCTTGAGCCGTCTTGGAGAATTTGTTGTGGACGTTTGGGTGGTTTATGCTGCCTTGTGCGGCCTTTCTGGTGGCCGGCGGGACGGGCCGAAGCCCCAGGGAGTTTTTCGAAAAGAACCAGAATCGAAAGGGTCTAGCACGCCGGGCACCCCTGTGGCAAGCCAACAGGGGGCGGCGGACCTAGTGGCCGTCGGCCCATCCTGCCTTTGTGCGTGCGTTGTTCTCAGGGATGCTTCTTAGGGTCTCTTCGGAGCGCTCTCGGGGGCCTCTTGGGGGTACTTTTGGGGCCTCTTGGGAGCCTCTTGGGGCCTCTTGGGGGCGTCATTTGGGTCTCTTGGGCCGTCTTGGGCGCCTCTTTCGCCGTCTTGGGGCCCTCTTGGGCCATTTGCAGTCTGGGAGCGTCGGTAAGCCGAAAATGCAAGAATTCCCAAAACAGTTCCAAACCAATGGGAAATCTATGATTTTGGCCTCTTGGGTCCCTCTTGGGAGGCCTCTTGGAGGCCTATCAGGCCGTCGTGGGGGTCTCTTAGGCCGCCTAAGGGGAATCTTGAGAGTCTTGGAGCGGTCCTTCGGCGACTCGGGGCCTTCTTGAACCGTTCTGGGGGTCTCCTGGGGCCCTCGTGGTCTGTCTCGTCGCCCTGGGGTCACCGTTGATGGGTTCCCGCCCCCCCCCCCCTCCCCCCCCATCTTATGCGATTCTAAGCCCCAGGGGCCCAGGGGAGGGGGAAAGGGGGACGGGGGACAGCCATTGATTTCACACGCCTTTTCGCCACCCGACTCGCGGGGGTCTGGCCTTGTGATGTTCCAGTCTACTTTAGCCTTGATCTCTAGAACGAGTCTCGAGCGCCCAGAAAGTACCGAAACTAGAGTGTTGCACGTGTGCAGCCCTGGGAGGCGAGACTCGTCCGACACTTCGCTGGCGTGCCGGGTAGACGCTGTTTCCATTTTTTTTGGGTGCTC